GTCACAAGCTGGCAGAGGGAAGGTTTAAGTTGGACATCAGGAGGCGCTACTTCACGGTCAGGGCGGCTAGGGTCTGGAACCAGCTTCCAAGTGAGGTGGTGCAGGCTCCCACCCTGGGGGTTTTTAAGAGGAGGTTGGATGACCACCTTACTGGGGTCGTTTGACCCCAGTGCTCTTCCTGCCATGGCAGGAGGTCGGACTAGATGATCTGCTCAGGTCCCTTCCGACCCTAGAAACTATGATAAACTAATTACTTGGATTTTCATTGTCCAGGTTGAGAAAAATGCAAGAAAGATCAATAGCATGAATAAATATAGGTATTCTTACTAACCTAAGGGGTCATATTAAAAATGGAGAAATTTATTTGTTTACAAGTTAACGATTGCCAGGATGATGGTATCCGTTTAAAGATACTACTTCAATACTGAGATTTTTCCATTTGTGATAACTAGATTTTTTATTCCTCTTAAATTATTATCCTGGCATAACTGGATTGACACAGAAGCATAAAGGTCTGATAATTGGCTTCACTTCAGCAAGCTTCTCTAAGAAACTCTCGCATGCAACTTCCTAATGTAATCAACCGACAGAAATATCACCATGCTAATATATTTGGACTTTCAAAAAACATTTAACAATGTCTCTCACCACAGGCTTTTAAAAAAACTACACTGCCACAGGACTGGAGGGAACGTTCTTTTGTGAACTGAGCTGGTTAAAAGATAAAGTTAAATGGTCACTTTTCAGGATGGAGGGAGGTCAAAAGTGGGGTCCCCACAGGGATCTGTGCAGAACCCAGTTTTGTTCATTATTTTCATCAATGACCTGCAAACAGAAGTGCACAATCAAACCTCTAAGCTTGCAGGTGACCCCAAATTATTCAGGGTACTCAAGTTCCAAGGTTGTGGAGAGGAGCTGAAGAAAGAACTCACCAAGCTAAGGGAGTGGGCAAAAAAATAGCAGATGAACTTCAGTGTTGATACGCACAAGTTATTTTTCCCCAGGTGCATTAATCTCAATTATACGTACACAATTCTGCGTTCTGAACTAGCTATTACGACTCAGGAAAGAGACCTTGGTGTCACACTAGACTTTTAAAAACATAAGCATGGTGTGCTGTGGTGACCAAAAATAGTCAATAAAATGTTGGGCATCATTAAGAAGGGAACTGAAAACAAAACAGAGAACATCATCATGCCAATATACAAACCCATGGTGTGGCCACATCTTGAACATTGTGGGTAGTTCTGGTCCCCTGGAAACCAAAATGATCAGGGGCCTGGAACAGCTGTCATATCACGAGAGAATATAAAGTCCAGGACTGTTCATTTTGGAAAGGAGAAGTTTGGAAGGGGGCGGGGGAGATGGGAGAAGAGATATGACAGAGGTCTATAAAATCATGAAGGGTATGGTCCAAGTGAACAGGGAACTGTTGCTCACGAACAAGTCACAGAATACTAGAACTAAGGGGCACTCACCAAAATTAGGAGGCAACAGATTTTAAATTAACAAGAGAAAATACTTTTCTACATGATATAGTTAATTTGTCGAATTCATAGCCACAAGACATAGTGGAGGTAGACAGCACAACCAGGTTCAAAAAGGGACTAGATAAATTCATGGATGATAGATCTATTAATGGTTATTCAACAGAATGGTTGAAAGTCTTTCTTCTGGCATCTCTAAACCAATGGATGCTGATGGATGCTAGAGGGGGTACTGAATAGGGGATAAATCACTTTAGAGATTATCCAGTTAAGTGCTTCATTTCTGCTCCTGGCAGAGACAGGATGCTGGGCAAGATGGATCATGGGTCTGAACCAATGTTGCACTTCTTATGTTCTTAAAAGCAGACTATTTTCCTTTCCACTAGTGAGAGAGGCCATGTAGCATCACTAGACCCTGCTGTAACAACAGTGTGCTATTTTTATATGTCGACCACAAAAAAAAACATATTGCAAAGAACAGACCTTAAAAGCCAATTTTCTGTTATTCACACACTTTACATGTCTGCGTGTAGACACAAAGGGCATTTATACACATACTTTTTGGCCCCGTGACGTGCCGGAGATCCACCACTTTGGATCAAACTTGATTAATCAAGTCTGCTTCACACGCAAGCTGATGTGCCCTGCACTGCGTTGTGTGCAGTTGTATAAGCAGCAAAGTGCGCGTCAGCGAGCAGAAAACGGTGATGGTGCGCTTTTGAACAGCACCTTCTATGTTTTAGTTCAATAACGCGCCACAGCCATTGTTAGTGCTGATGCGCATTTTGCTGCTTATACAACTGCAAGTGTCACAGTGCTGGGTGCCTATCGAAGTGCCTGGTGCTGCGGCACCTGCATGTGTAAAAATGCCCCAGGGTTTTTCCTCTTGTACGGTTATGATCTCTTGCTCCTTCTTTCAGTAAGCAATTAGAATAGAAATAGATTCCCCAAAGTCAACCATGAAATAATCATCTCTACAGTTATGCTATGGCAACTGCAAATATTACACTGAATCCTGTAATGTTTCAAAGGGATGCACCAAAAGAATTTATAACCTTCTTTCTAAAAGTTTCCCCTTACCTTATTGGCACTGAACTGTTTAAAGGGTTGGGTCATAGTTGAGTGATATTCCCAGATTTACCTAATCCTCCCCGTCTGTAGGGAACTTGACTAAGGACTTTTGGAATCCTGATGAGACGCACACAGAGACATTCTTAAATGTGGCAGCTGGTGGTGGGCAACTTTTAGTGCTGAGACAGCTGTCACAAGAGGTGCATCCACCCAGCAAGTAGCCAGAGAGTATATTGAGGTCCTGCTTATACCCACGGCGTTTATGCTCTAATACCTGCTACAGAAAGGGAGGCAAAAATACAAGCATGAGTGTGCTCTTTTTAAAAGCGTATCACCTGCTTTGGCAAACCCATGGGAGTTGGTGACATCCACTGATTTAGGGTTTATTCACTCTAGCAGCTTTTAATTTGTCAGAGATGAAAAGTTCAAACTAATGATGACTAATATGACAATTAAAGGGCACAATCCTTCCATTAGTGATGTAGCCATTTACCATGCTCAAGAAAAACTGACCAGAGGGACCAGCAGAAACTGCACAGCTGCTGGCTGAAGTCGAGTCTGCCAAGTTCTACAATCTAGCCTATATTTTTTCTCACCTTGTGTGCTAGTGCCTGTACTGCCCATCCAGGGATGTCTGAAGTCCAAAAAGGTTGAGAACCACTGTTACCCATTACACAAGGCAGTCAGCAATTTATTTCTTGAAATATTAGTTATGGGTAAAAACGTTTTAAAAAGACCCAACAAAAAACAAGATTTCTTTTTATACAGTAGAAATAACATAATTCACAACATGCATTTGCCATAACAGGACTCTGCACAGTGCTGGTACACTGTTCCATTCTCCTCCCCCTTTATCCATAAAGCAGTCAAGTGATTTAACACAATTTACAACGCCTGCAGTACACACTGCACTAAGGGAGCCATGAATTGATTTGCAAATCACAGTGATTACTCTGGGGATAATAAAACAAACTATTAAAGTTGCAATGAAAATTGCAATAATTACTTTGTATCTGAAGGGGAAGAAAATCTCTTTACCAACTTGTATTCCTGATACAAAGCCTCAACAGGAGTCTTCTCACTATTGTCAATCTTTGGAGCAAGTCCCTATTCTGCAGCCTTCAACTTTCTTGGTCGAGATGGCTCCAGTTCTTAAGG